AAGCTTACAGACTTTGTTTTCCTGACCCTTGGCAATGAGGCCTTCAGGTTGGTGCATATAGATTTCTTCATCTAAATCACCATTCAGGAAAGCAGTCTTGACATCCATCTGATGTATGATAAGCTTATGGATAGCAGCAAAGGCTAGTAATACTCGGATAGTTGATATTCGGGCTACAGGAGAATATGTATCAAAATAATCAATGCCCTTTTGTTGAGTAAAGCCTTTAGCTACTAATCTAGCTTTAAATTTATCTATGGAACCATCAGCTCTGAGTTTCTTCTTGAATATCCACTTACAACCAATAGGTTTACAACCTGGAGGTAAGTCGGTGAGTATCCAAGTATGGTTTTCCATGATAGATTTAATTTCATTATCAATGGCTTCTTTCCAGAAAGGAGATTCAGGTGAATCCATTGCTTCTTGGAATGAGCTTGGATCACCTTCAACAAGAAAGGTAAGGAAGTCTTCTCCAAAATTCTTTTCGATTCTACCTCTTTTGCTTCTTCGAGGTTCAATATCAAGAGGTTGAAAAGAACTGGAAGATGGAAGATCAGAAGGAATGGATGATCTGGGATTTTCTGAGATTTTAGATTTGAAAGGAAAGATGTTTTCAAAGTAGACTGCATCTCTTGCTTCAATGATGGTATTGTTGGATATGTCACTGATTTCAGATTTGATGACTAAAAATCTGTTAACATTGCTATCAAGTGCATATCCAATAAAAGCAGCATCTACAGTCTTAGAACCAATTTTTCTCTTCTTAGGTTCGGGAATAGCTACTTTAGCCAAGCAACCCCAAACCCGGAAGAAATTTAGATTAGGAGATCTCCCCTTCCAATATTCATAAGGAGTTGTATCGGAATATTTCTGGGGAATCCTATTGAGAATGAAGCAAGCAGAAAGAAGAGCTTCACCCCAGAGATTTTCAGGTGCTCCTGAACTGAGTAACATACAGTTCACCATGTCCATTAGGGTTCTATTCTTTCGTTCAGCTACCCCGTTAGACTGTGGTGTATAGGGAGCAGTAACCTCATGAATAATACCGTGTTCTTGGCAATATTCAGTCATATGATTTGAGGTATACTCCCCCCCACGATCAGATCTTAGAATCTTGATCTTCCTGTCAAGTTGGTTCTCAGATTCAGCTTTGAACACCTTAAACCTATCTAAGACTTCATCTTTAGTTTTGAGAAGATAGGTGTAACAATATCTGGAGTGATCGTCTATAAAAGTCACAAAATATCTCCTACCCCCTCGGGTGAGAACTCGGTTAGAGTCACACACATCACTATGAATTAATTCGAGGGGTTCAGAGTTTCTAGTTATAGACTTGAAGGGTTTTTTAGTGTGTTTCCCTTGAACACAGATTTCACATTTAGATGAGGGATCATGAGAAGATTTAGGAATGAGGTTTAATTTACTCATTCTCTGCAAGGTTTGGAAATTGACATGTCCAAGTCGTCCATGCCAAACATCACAAGACTCAACAATTTGAATAACAGAAGACTCAGAAATTTCATTAGAACTGGAATTGATTACATTGAGTTTGAAAAGGCCATTACAGATAAAACCTTTTCCTATGAAAACATTACTCTTTGTAATCACAAATTTATTGGATTCTTTTACAATCCTATAACCAGCTCTAAGAAGAAGAGATTCACTAATCAGATTGCGACGGAGAGAAGGAACATGATAAACACCTTGCAGATGAAGAGATTTTCCAGAAGTCATGGAAAGCTCTATACTTTCACTTCCTATTATTGATTTAGTGGAGTCATCTGCTAAGCTTATGCTTCCTCCACGTGATTCCTGATAATTTGAAAACCAAGAGCGGTCATTACAGACGTGGATATTTGCTCCGGAATCCAAATACCAATCAGTGGAAGAAGTTAGAGAATTTACAAGATGAGATGAAGAGGCTAACCTGAAGGAGGTTGGATTCATTTCAATCATATTAACTTTGTTGGATCCATTTCCTTTAGGGGCAGGTTTGGCCGGTTCCTTCTTCCGAAAGAAACAGTTGTGAGCCATGTGGTTGGTTCTACCACAGACAGAAAGATTTGTTGAAAGATTGTTGATTTTTCTTGAATTTCTTCCCTTTGGGTTTGAAATTCTTAGATTTAGGCTTATCCTCTACCAAGTTTACTTTAGCTTTTGTTTCATTCTTGGTATTGGAGTTTTGCCTATGCTGGTCTTCAATACGAATAGCCTTGAGGGCTTCAGTTAAAGTTAGATCTCCTTGCTTGTGTCGGAGATCTCCAGCAAATCTAGACCAAGAGGGAGGAAGTTTATCAATCAAACAGGAAACTTTATAATCGTCAGTAAAAGTGTTTCCTTTTGATTGGAGATGACGGAGGAAATCTAGGAATTCATGAATTTGATCATTAATGGGCTTGTCATCAACCATTGTGAACTTATTGAAAGAGGAAGAGGTGAAGCGCAGAATTCCGGCATCATCATAGCCATATTCTGCTTCAAGAGCATTCCATAGATCTTTTGCACTTTTGAACTCATAATATATGTCATAAAGGTTGTCCGCAAGTGCACTAAGGATCCTATGACAACAATGATAGTTGATTTCTTTTGGTTTCATAGAGCTAGAAAAAGAGCTAGCACCAGAACCAGAAGTAGAAGGAGCATGTTGAGTAGGATCAGGAGTCAAAGGTTGAGAACCACTAGTAGATGACTCAGAAGTGTCAATAGCAGATAAAAGACCTAAGGTAGTAAGCCAGTATTTCATCTGATTAGCCCACCGTTTATAGTTAGCACCGGTGAACTTCTCAGGTTTGACACTTTTTGAATGATCAGGAATTGCCATAAGTCCAATTTAAGTTTACTAGTCTAGGTAGATGTAATCTGATATAAAAAAGGATTTTGTCAATATTACTAGACCAGAAACTTAATTAAACCTGCTCTTAACCAAAAACTCTAAAAGTGAAAAGATTAAAGTTTTACTCGGGTAGTTTGGCCAGGTAAGGATAGTACTAGAGGTTGATCAATGATCGATTAAGTACCTCGTTTCTTGCAGAGCGCTTTACGCAACCCTTAAACCTTTCCTTAGACACCAACTAATCCAAGAAAACTTGAACCGGTTCACTTAAAGATTTTTTGTTTATGACAGATACTGAATTTGAGCACAGAAGCAACAAAGAAATAATTTTTTTTAAACTAATTTAGATGCAACAAGTTAAAACAATTAACTAATACAACAAGTAAGTAAAATATATGAAATTCGGGTGAACAGTAATCCCAATGAACAGTATTTTTTTTATTTTTATTTTTTATTTTTTTTAAAATTTTTAAAACTAATTATCTTATCAGCAAGAATATCCTTAATCTTCTAGAATGCTGTCAAAACGGGAATATAAACAAATTAAGGAGTTAGAAAATTCAGGCCTGATTGGGAGCAGTCGTGATATCACTGCCCTAGAAGATTAAGGACCCGCCTATCGCCCTGGCGCAGTTTGTCCTCTCTCCTCTAGCGGTAAAAACCCCCGGAATCGGCCGGCCTCTGCACTCGGGCGTGAGACACAGAGCTTATGCTCAGACGAAAACAGTTGCCCAGAAAATAGAATATGTAAATATGTAGCCGAAATCTTTTATTGGAGGTATAAGAGTAGAGAGAAGAGAGTGTAGAGATTTTCCTCTTCGTTGGTGTGTTTCTGAATGAGCTCCAAGCCTCTTTTTATAGGTGATGAAAGGTGTAACCCCCGCTGAATCCAAGGAACCGTTACGCACGGTTATTGCTTCCGTTACCCGCATGCAGCCGTTACAAAATGTGTAAAACGTGCAAAAATGAAGGCTTGAGAAGCAAAAGTGTGCGGCTGCGGCGTGGCGTGGCGTGGGGGCGTGGCGAGGCGTGGCGTGGCGTGCGTGGCGTGCGCGCGTGTGTGGTAGAACCGCAAAGCCCACAAAACCCAAAACACTATTCAAAGCCCAATAAGGAGAGAACCATTATATACCCTTTACTATTCATCTCATTTTCCGATGTTGGACTATTCACAAAGGCAAAATTGCCTTTTCATGAACAAAACTTCCAACAGAAGTTATGGTGAGGATCAAGAATTATAATTTTATATTAATTCTAACACATTTCATGTTTATCGTGGCCAAATTGAAATTAGGTATTTTCAAACCAGAAAACTATCTTTTTTGGTTGGAAGCTAAAGATTCAGAATGACAAAGAAGTAGAAGGACGATCTTACTGTGTTTTTAATTACATGTTAGGGTTTGGAGTTTATAATGGATCAAGTTTTAGGTTCGTAATCGGTTTAATTTTTGCAAAACATTTAAATGGGGATATAGACTATAGAGGTAATTTAACCATGATAACTGTTCAAAATTTGACATTAATTAAGGTGATGGTTGAATTTGAGGGATAATACAATTTGAAGGGTAAATTTAGAATTACAATGATTCAAGGGGCAAATTTAAATATACTTATAACCATTTGAGGGGCATTTATCGAAAAACCCCTAGTGAAAATCCAACAAAAAGAAAGCAAGAGATCGCCCGTAATATTTTATCATTAGCAATTAGAGATATAAAGTAGATTAAACAACACTACTCAAATCTCTCATATTCTGCTTACACTTATATAGCCTTACTTATTTCTCATAACATTTATATTACCTTAGATTGTTTAAAATTAACACACTGATATCCTCTAAAATACAAACATTTATTTTTTTATGGAGTATTTCTATATGACACTCACATGGTAATTGATTGCAGATGTTACGTGATAATAGTAGTGCGAATTTTATAAACTAGTTAGATTGCACGTGCAATGCACGTGGTCGAATATCATGGTTATTTAAAAAAGTTTAGAGTGTTTATAATTTTACAATCTACTATTTCGGAAATTCGCACTACTATTTTAAAATGATAAAATATTTAAAAGGAGCATGATATACACAGCCCAATTCACGAAAGCCTCCGAATTGCCACGCTTCTAGCACGTGAGGGCATTTTCTTAATAAATGCCAAAATAGAAAGCTTGGCTAGGGTTTCTAAAAGCCCTTTAACCCCTCTTGTTTCTTTCATAAAAAGGCGATTTTTAAGTCGTGAGAGCATTAGAAACTCATCGGAATCCATGGGCGGCTTTAGGGTAAGATTCCAACTCCAAATCCAACTCCATTTGTTGTTCTCTATTCTTTCTCTTCTTTGATTCCGTGGCATTTGATTCGAAAATGATGGAGATCTGAAGATATTTCAAGTGTTAAACAAGGAGCTAATCGATAAATCGGTGGATCTTAAGGACAATTAAGACTCTGGGTTTTCTTTGTTACGGAGCTATTTGGACTTGATTAAAAGCACATTGTTGAAAAATTCTAACTAAGATCAGTTAATCTTGAGTTGAATGTCATCTATACTTGGTTAGCTGTTGGTGAAATAATGTCATGTGTATTTATTTAAAGTTTAATTTGGTATTGTGCTGTTTGGTTCGTCTAAAGATTGTTGCTTTTTCATGATGATGGCAGTTTCATCAGTACCAAGTGGTGGGCCGAGCTCTCCCAACCCCGTCCGATGAGCACCCGAAGATTTTCCGGATGAAGCTTTGGGCGACAAATGAAGTCAGAGCTAAATCCAAGTTTTGGTGTGCTTGGAATCTCAGTACTTTGGCTTTGTTTCTGTAATTTTTGGTGCTGTCTAATAACATTTTTGTTGTTGTTTAATTGAAATTTATAAGGTACTTTTTGAGGAAGCTGAAAAAAGTCAAGAAGAGCAATGGGCAGGTTCTCGCTATCAATGAGGTCACTTCTTCTTCCCTTCCAATCTTCTCATGAATTATTGTTGTATATGAAACTCATGTAAGTAAGGTGTATTTAGTTAGGCGCTTATGATTGGTAATTTATATGTTTTTTTGGAGCTCTTTTAGTTTGAAAATCATCTATGAATAGTATATGTAGATCATTTTAGTAGAAAGTCATCCATTGTTATCATTGAATGGAAACTGTTAATTATATTGGTTTGGTAGTGCATTATATGTTCTTTTTTGCTTTGTCTAAATGGGGGCACACTTGATCTCTCTAGTCTGCTTTAGATGACTTCCGGGCTCAATTATTAAATGGAAAGTTGCAAGGACTTCACCAAGCCTCGAGGTTTATGAAATTAGATTGTGATCAGATTTCTTTATCACAGTATGATAGTTAGGAGTGACCCCTGGTTGACTGCTTATGAGATTCCAGTTGTTTCATATACTTGTTTCGGTTCGGTTCGGTCCGGTCCTGGCTCAGTGGTGAGGTGTGGATGGGTTAGTGGAGGTCCTAGGTTTGAGAAAGGTGACATCTTCCTTCCACTAATATGGTGCTTTCTATAAATTTGACTTTCTTGTGTGTGAATCTTGTTAAGGATTCACATTTTCACTTTGTTTTGGTTATCCTAGTAGATACATTCTCAACTATTAACAGCTTCTTTGGTTGCTATCCGGCTTCACATGGTAATTTTTTCTAGGATGCTGGGTTGTACCTTAGTCATGTTGTATGAAATCCTTTTTACTGTCTGGCGATCTGATCTGATTCTGGGGATTCCTTCATAACCTTCTGAAACATACATGTTACTCTTTAACATCCTGACCATTTGAGTTACTTCTTGTGTGTGGTAATCCTTCTTACTTCAAACAGGCCTAATATATTTACTGAATATATTTCGTGTTCTAACTTCCACAATCTAGTTTATTGGTTAATCAAGTGAAACATCGGAAACTTTTTTTGTAATTCACATATATGCTATTTAGTCCTTAGTACTCAACCATGGGTCTCATATCAAACTCCACTTTATACATGTTCAGCGAAACCATTTTAACTTTCTGAAATTCTGAGTCTGTAGGACATAAAATTAGACACTATTATGTTGAGGTCTAAGATGTTTATAAATGCAAACATTGAATGCAATGTTCAGTTTTTGCTTCAGTTTTCTAGGCTTCTGTGTGTTAATGTAGGAGCACGAAATTGCTACAATTTGATCTCTATGGCTGTGATATGCTAAGGCTCCTCACTCGAGAGTCTGGAGATTAGATAGGTGTAATCTCACAAAAGTTTTCTAGTCCTGTTTGAGAATGACACTAAGATCCTTGAAATCAAATAGCCACCTTTGATTTATATTTGCGCTGGATGGAAAACAATAGGTTTTATATATTGTCAAATTAGTGAAAGACTTTACTGGATACAGTTTGGTTCGTCTAATGACCATTGGCTGTATGATTATTTTTACTGATTTTATACATCAATCACACCATATTTATTTCCAATTAAACTTAATAATGTCAGAATATATATACTTATTCTTTTCATGAAGCCGTTTATGACGATTCTCATGGTTGTTTTAAACTTTTTTTACGGTATTTCTTAGTGTTGCTGTTAATTATACATTTTAGTTTCCCTCTTTATTTAGGAATTCACAGTTTTTAAAGCAAAATTAAAGCAAATTTAATTTGTTCCCCTATTAATTATATTCATAAACTGACATGGGGCTTTAATCCTTGTGTGAACAGATTTTTGAGAAAAACCCAACAAAGATTCACAACTATGGCATCTGGCTTCGCTACCAGAGCAGAACCGGGTACCACAACATGTATAAGGAGTACAGGGACACTACCCTGAATGGTGCAGTGGAGCAGATGTACACCGAGATGGCATCTCGTCACCGAGTAAGGTTCCCTTGCATCCAGATTATCAGAACTGCCACCATCCCGGCTAAGCTTTGCAAGAGGGAGAGCACCAAGCAATTCCATGATTCCAAAATCAAGTTCCCTCTTGTATACAAGAAAGTGAGGCCACCAACCAGGAAGTTGAAGACCACATTCAAGGCTACTAGACCTAACCTCTTCATGTAGGGCTATATATGGTTTACTAGCATTTGGGGATGCTCTTTTTTGCTACCATCTTATGGATTATGTTTAAAAATTTTGTATCAGTTAATTTTGGATTCGAATGCGACTTTTCTGTGTTGAAGGGATTTTGTGATGAGAATTTTGGGATTAGTTTAGCTGGATCATTGGATCATGTTTTAAATTTTAATCTCTTATATGCAGTGGTGTGGTTGAGTACCACTGCTTAATGCGTATCATTGTGTGTTGTGCAACAGAATTTTTGATATATTAAGCTGAAACGACAATATCGAAGAACGTGAGCAATTCTATGGATGAAACCTATCAGTCCTCCCTGAATCTGTGATGAGCTTTTGTCAGCTTTGATTTTGTAATTGGTATTATTTTGTAGTGTCTTGTTGTATGCACCAAGCTCACTCATGGAGAACTATATATCGAAAACATGAATTTCTTCCCTCAGAATTGTTTCAGTAACCATCCAGTACGCATATTTGTTGCCTCATCAGAGCGTGTGAATCTATTCCGATGCAGAGAACAATCTAAGAAGTCTGTTCGTCTCCTCAACGAGCATATATTGACCTCGAATACTTTGTTCCAGCAGAATATCTGTGATCTCCTTCGCATCACCATCAAGACATAGAGACAGCGCTTGGGACTAAGCCCTTGCTGCCTTAGCCGCGTCCCAAGCTGCTCTAGCCTCCAACTCATATGCCGATTGAGCACAGGATTACAATATCCGTCAAAGTTCGCTTTAAACCATCCCAACTTGCGTCTGTTGCAGCAAAGGAACTCTGCGACCGTGTCGTGCGTCGTTGCGGCGATTACGAGTTTTGGCTCAGCGTAGTCGCCTTACTGGACTCAATATTTTTACCGTGTTTGCCTTGAGCGTACGCTTAACTAGAAGCTCATGCTACTGTACGGTTTGGATCCGCTCTTTGTTTCGGGCACGGTGCGTCTAAAAATTTCTCAGGTTGAAAGCTTAAGTTGGATCTGACCTGTATTTGCAAATGAATTGGGTATCTGCTTATTCGACGGTGAAGTCACCAACTTTTGAACTGTAATCGTCTATATTTATTTAAAACGTTTGCACTTCATTCAGAATACCATCATATTTTATGTAAATTATTTTGACTCCTAGGGGGGTTAGTCACATAGAACTTAAAATTGGAACTGAGATAATCTGTGAGATAAATTTTTAAGATGTTAGTCACATAAAACTAAAACTAGAACAAATTTTTACAGTATTAGTCAAGTAGAACTCTAACAAAACTAGAATTGAGATAATGGTACAAAATTATCCCATATTTTTTATTTTTCTATACAAAAATGAAAGTTCTAGCCTCTCAAATTATTCCAAGTTTTAGCTTGGAACTAGGTGGTAAAAAGCTAGAACTCATATTTATTTTGTTATTTTTTATATTTCTTTTTCTTTCTTTACTTCTTTCCTATTATGGTTATCACCATCATTATAATAATAATTGCCAATATCTTATAGTCTAACCAAATGTTATTTAATAGTAAAGAACATTCTTGTAAGCAATTATCAATCAATAATAGTAAGTTTAAAATACATAAATAGTATTTATATCTTCAAAATGCATAAATATATATTTCATGATTATAAAAATTTATCCCACGTTATTTTATCAAAATATCCCGTTTTACAAAATTATTCCTATTTATCCTACTAAAATATCCCACTAGCGAAAAATTATTCTAATTTAACAATTATCCCATTTTGCATGAAAATGTCCCAGTTCACTAACACCTCCATGGACAAATTGTTTATTAAATGGTTGAAGGGTCATGAGTCTCAAGGCATGCACAAGGTTTTAAGGCAGAGTCCAGTCAGTACCTACACAATATGATCTCCATTACGGAGGCCCAATAAAATTCATGGCCCAGACAATAAGCTGCCAGTTTTCACGCATCCGGCCAACTATCGAAGGACAAGATGAGAAAAATTCGGCGAATTTTTCAAATGGTTTCTATTTAAATCGCGTTATCCATAAGCTTTTACCTAAAAACGTTATTACGTAAGTTAATTAGGGACTGAGTGGAGGCTGGAGGTGGTGCCAAAAATCGCAGCGCCTGCCTCCTCCTCCTCCATTCGATCTCACAGAAAAAAAAACCCTAGAAAAAAAACTATATATTTGTAATTTCTATCTCTCGTCGATCTCGAACTGTGGCTGGATCGCTCGGAGTTCATCTTCTTTGGCTCTCTGATCGATCCTCTTGCTCTTCTTCCTACAAATCCAGGTAATTTTCTTGTGTTTTCTGAAAATTTGCAATTTTAAGCTTAACTCATGAATTGAATACTGTGAGATCGGAACTATACTCATCCTAGAAAGTAAAAGATTTGATCAATTCGTGGATTTTCTTTTTCTTGAGCTTGAATTGCAGGTAGAAGTCAGTTTTATGTAGTCAGTTCATGTTGGATTCGATTTTTCTCGGTTTACGATGGAATAAGGTCACTTGAGTTTCTAGGTCACTAGATTTCTCGAAATATTTGTCAAAGATTATTATTAGGACAAATTTTCAAAAGAGACCTATTTAGACTTTTATTTGCAAAAAACGACCTGTTTTGAACTTATTTTTAAAAACCGACCTGGTTTCAGCCCTGTCGCTGAAACCAGGTCGGTTTCTGAATTTTTTTTACGAAACTTCACGGGCGTTGAACTCCCGTGAAGTTTAGCAGATTTTTAAACTTCACGGGAGTTCAATTCCCGTGAAGTTTAATTTTTTACGAAACTTCACGGGAGTTGAACTCCCGTGAAGTTTTATTACCCATTTCATGATCCTCTGAATAACCCACTCTCCGTTTCCAACCCAATTCCTGCCCCAAGTCATTTATTAAAAAAAACCATCTCAAATTTTCCCCAAATTTGGCCATGGATCTTCTCCCTGTTCCTTCACCACCTTCCTCTTCCCTGTCCTCTGTTATCACCTCAAATTCCAATGAAAGAAGAGTTCACAAGCCTTTGATACAACCGAAGTTTATGAAGAAAATCCTTCTGTAAAAAAGGCTTTGATGGTTTGTAGAGTGATTGCTGGAAGAGTTCACAAGCCTCTGGATAACTTTCAAGAATTCACCGGCCAATCTGGGTTCGATTCGTTGGCAGGCAAAGTTGGTTTATATTCCAACATTGAGGAACTCTACTTGCTTAATCCTAAGGCTCCAGCGGTTCAACGCGCGGACCTTCAGGAGATCGATCGTCTTCTCGAGCTACGAGTTCCCCGTGGCTAGATCTAGGGCCGACGAGTGCGACGCCTCGTGACGGTTTCGAAACCGGAGGGAGAAGTCTTGGAGGAGGTACAGGGACTACAGGCGGTTCAGATTCGTGCTGGGGGACGATTCCGGTGGAAGTACTTGTACTATAACAAGGATGGGGATTATTGCAAGGGGATGAATCGGTATCTTTGGAGCTTTTTGTGTGAGCTTGGAGAGGCCAAGTTCTTGAACAGGTCGTTTGTTACGGATCCGAGTGCTTGCACTAATATAACTTCACGGGAGTTTAACTCCCGTGAAGATTTATGAAGAAATTAAACTTCACGGGAGTTCAACTCCCGTGAAGTTTAAAATACACTAAACTTCACGGGAGTTCAATTCCCGTGAAGTTTCGAAATTTTTTTTACAGAAACCGACCTGGTTTCAGCGCCTGGGCTGAAACCAGGTTGGTTTTTACAAATATTTTGAAAACAGGTCGTTTTTTGCAATAAAATGTTCAAATGAGTCGGTTTTGAAAATTTGTCCATTATTATTACTATGATGACGAATAAGCGATCTTTAAAAAATTGCTCATTTTCTATCCTGTGCAAGTTTCGTGGTAATGTTCTGTTGGGTATAAGATTGAAGATTGACAAAAGGCCACACAACAAGTGAAGCTTAAAGAACCTTAAGCTTTTAGAAAAAGCGGATCGGGCTATTTTTCTGTGAATCATTTGAAACTTTACTGTAGTATTTGTAAGTGAAGCTTTGCTTATTGAAAGGAAGGATGAGTGTCGTTATCTGAGTTCACTCAGGCTAATGGAAGAATGGCAGAAACAAGAAGAGATGAAGGAGAAGAGAAGGAAAAAGAATCATTTTGTGTTGTCAACGGTGTCAAGCTAGTGGCATTGCGTTGTTTGTTGTGTCAAGCAATGTCTAGGCTGAGATGAAGTCACTTTTCTAATAATGGTATCAGAATCAAAACCATGACCTTAGAAAATCTCTTTTATTAAGCATAGAATTCGAGACCATCAAGAAGAGCTTCCAGTTAAAACTCTATCTTTGCAGACAGAGGCGTGACTGACAATTTGGGGGTCCGATTCTAAATTTCAATCGGAGCCTCTTAATCAATCTTCAGAAGAAACTAATAATTGTTTTTATATGTAGTACTAACCATGGAAAGAAATTTTTATCTAGAATTAAAATAAACATTAAGACATAACAATGGTTCTATGCAAAACATATTACGTGCAAAATATTGATAATAAAAAAAAGATACACAAAATCAACATCTTACTAATAATCTTGACATGTCCGAACTTCACTGGAAAACTTTTCTCCTTGCATTTTTTGTTGCAAAGTCATCAATCAAAGCTTCATAATCAATCTTGTCTAAGAATCCACTTTCAACTGAGAGCAAAGCCAGTCCGTTTAGCCTCTCCTGCGACATGGTTGATCTCAAGTATGATTTTAATATCTTTAACTTTGAGAAGCTCCTTTCTGCCGATGCAACCATGACAGATATAGTCAACAAGATTCTATATGCAATGCTAGCGGCTGGGAAACAATTCATCCTCTTCAAGAAATTCAATACGTCAATGGCTTTCATATTTTCTGATGGTAACATATTTTGTAAGATTAGCAACTCTGTAAATAATTCATCTCCATCAACATCAGAACAACTTCCTTTCTTAAGACTGTTTGCAAGATTAGCACAACAAGCTTTTAAATCATCATTCTGATATGCACATAACTTTTCCGGTCTGAATAAAAACCCAAAAATATTCTCGTATGTCTGATACTGTTCAAATCTTCTCTCTAATGAACCAATAATTTGATCAACCAGTAATAGAAAATAATGAACTCTGAACTTTTCCTCACCCGATTGCTAAGTTAACTCTGATGACTGAGCTCCAACCTCATCAAAATGCTTTTTTTCTAAAGATTTGCTGCTTCTCAGAAAATACTGGATCAACTCCTAAATCAGCAGCAAGTGTTTTGGCAGTAATCATGACCTCTGCAAACCCAGTTTCTCTATACTTTCTGAAAGAAATAATTAAGCCATTTACTAATTCTATAGCAACATCAATTGGAATATCTTTCTCTTGCAAACGCTTACTAACCTTGTTAACAGTCACCAATATCTTATACCAAATAGTCATGCCTAATAAAAACACAAAATCCTCAAGCTCGTACTTTGCTAAAGATTTAGCTTCACTTCTTATTTTTGTGTCTTTGTCATTTTCTGCTAATTGAAGTAAAGCTTGTCTGATCTGTAGAGGTTGTGATTGAATTGCCTTAATACTTTCAACACGACTTTCCCAACGTGTGGTCGATAATGGCTTGAGAGTAACTCCTATAAGATTATCCATCAAAATCTTCCAACGTTTTGTAGAATTTGCGAACAAGGAATAAATTCGTTGTACTACTCCAAAGAAATCCTGAGCTTTGATGTTACAGTTTGCTATATCACAAAGGGTTAAGTTAAGGCTATGACAAGCACATGGAGTGTAAAATGCTCTTGGATTAATATCCAGAAGTCTACTCTGTACACCTTGCTTATGCCCTTTCATATTTGATTCATTATCATATCCCTGTCCTCGAACATTATCAATATCAAGACCAAGACCTGTTAGAGCCATCTGCAACTCCTGAAAAAGTCCAAGGCCACTTGTGTCATCCTCATTCAAAAATTGTATGAAATACTCATCCACTTTAACTGGACTAACAGTGACATCCATACATCTCAAAATCAGAGTCATCTGTTCTTGGTGACTAATATCAGGAGTACAATCAAGTATAACAGAAAAGTATTTAGCTTCTCTAACCCGAGATATGATTGCACCTCGGATTTCAGAAGATATCATGAGTATCAACTCATTTTGGATAACATTACTTAGATAATGATAACGGATCTGCTTATTCTGAATGCGACGAAGATGTTCCTCCACCACTTTATCATGCTCTGCCACCATCTGAACTAATCCCATAAAATTTCCATTGTTTTCTTTATCAATCCGCTGATTTTTGCCCCGAAACGCCAAATTGTATTTAGCAAGATATTTCACAATTGAAATCAACATTCGTAACAGTTTTCTCCAATGCTCCTTCTCTTTTATGATATGATCTTGGAAAGATTTGTCAATTGTCCGATCCTTTTCCAATCTAAGCTGCAACTCAATCCAAGTAGCCATGTTATGAATATACGCCTTACTAACTTCATGTTCATTAAGCCGCACACCCACATGTGACCAATCATTATATCCTTCATTTGCTAGCTGAGTTATCATAGGCTTTTTCTTAAACAACTTACAACAAAAACAAAATGCTTTATCAATCTCTTTGCAGTATTCAAGCCATATCCTATCAGATGTCTCTCCATTATGTATGTGTCGAGTGTATAATCCTGAAGTAAAGCGTTTATTCAATCTATCTTTAGGACTGTCGAGTGTATAATCCTGAAGTAAAGCGTTTATTCAATCTATCTTTAGGACCTTTTTTTATCGACAGGTCTCTTACGGGACCTTTTACAGCTAACAGATCTCTCCATTTATCATCTAGACTATCCCAAACTCTAGGATCATAAAGGTTCGATGGAACTTTCTCACTTGGTTCCTCAATTAAGTCATTATAAACTGCATCCAGATTCTCATTAAGCCCTTCTTCATCAGATTCGGTGTCACCATTCTCATTGTGATTCATACCATCACCATCTGCATTGCCCTCATTCTCATTAGGACTTGGATCATCACCGTGATTTTCATCAAGTCCTTCATCTTCAATCAATTCCTCATTATCATTGTCATCGTCTTCATCAACTAAAGAACAGTTTTTCTAAACAGACCCATTTCAATTTTTTTTTTAAAACCGACTATTTTTTTTATTTACCAAAACCGATCCGATTTTGTGATTAGCAGACTAATCACCTTCCTAAATAGTCGGGGTTGGTAACCCCGACTATTTAGGACGGTGTTAAACCCTAATTAGAAGCCTTAAACCCTAAAAATTAATGTCCTAAACAGTCGGAGTTGCCAACCCCGACTATTTAGGAAGATGATTAGTCTGCTAATCATAAAATCGGGTCGATTTTGGTAAATAAAAAAAAGAGTCGGTTTTAATTTTTTTTTGAAATGGGTCTGTTTAGAAAAATTGTTCTCAACTAAATTTTCAGTTGAAATAGTTGGACGTTCTCTGACAAAGAACCTGTCAAGAGCACCTCATTGTGAACGAGTCAATTGTTCCTCTTTTTTTTCCTCTTCAAACTTCCAGATTTGTACTTTCTAAGTGGCATTATTTCCAATCTTGAACAAAAAAATAATAAAATAGGAAACAATCACAAAACAACCAAATTTGAAAAAATCAATTTGATAAAGGTTAACCATAATCAAATTCAATCGACCTGACATTGATTTAATTTTATAATACTAGGTTAAAAAAACGACTTAATACTACCCCCATCAACTAAAAAGCTATTTAGCCAAAATGTTTAAGCATTTTCTGATAAAATTAAATTAACCACAAATAACAAGAGAACGAGTTTACCACTAAGATCTGGAACAATACTAGTGGCAGCAAGGGCACGACGTACAGAGGGTCTAGCTTCTGCAATCTTGATGGAAAACCTTCTACCTGTTTCAAAAAAATAATTATAATTTAATTATAATTTTTCACACTATATAACAATAAAATATGAGATATCGCGTGTCCATGTAACACTGGTTACATGTGTGTGCATGCAGAAACACATGGAAAAAGAAATATGCGAAATGAATGGAAAAAAGTCAGAGAAGGATCTGTATGTAAGGCATGTTTTGATAATTTCTAGAAAATATATTCTTTTTTTTTCTTTTCTAGGAAATATATCTTTTAAAGTTCATTCTTTTTCCATTTAATTTAATCATCAACATAGTGACAAATTTATCTCTTTTAAAATTCTTCTTTCATTTGATTTTATTGCAAGATTTTAAATTAGATAGAATCTTCCAGATTACTTTTCTATCATCCAGATTTTCTCCAAACAACATTCTCATTCTCTCCTCCTCACTGATTACTTTTCTATGATTCTATCTTCCAGATTTTCTCCAGCTGTTTTCCCCAGAAACATTTTGTTAAATCTATCACTAGGTGACCCGAATTTGGACTCGACGGACCCTTGATTCCGAAACATTTTTTGCTCTCATGCTTGCATAGTTGCATGCGACTGCGAAAGAAAAAAGAAGGAAAAAGAAGAAAAAAGAAGGAAAAAGAAGGAAAAAACGTATCTTTTAATGAAATTAAGAAAAAAAGACCAGTTCTTTAAACTCTTGAAACATCAAACATCAAAAACTCAGCAAGGGCTAGCAACATGGCATCTAAATCAGAAGCAAATGTAGCACAATTTTCTTTTAGAAATCAAACAAACTCAAAATAGCTACAACATCTAATGATAAATGAAAAAGACCCAACTCTTCAAATTCCTAAGGCATCCAGCCCACCAAGAGAAATTTGCATCAAAGCATGATTGCCATCAAAACAACTCTTGGAAAATTCCCAATTCCTTATACCCTAGAAAAAGCCAAAAATGCCAGAAAAAAACAAGAAATTCATGAAAGCCATAACAGAGCAACAGTAAGCTTGAAGATTAGAGAAACTTAGCTGGATAATTCGTCGGAGCGCGCTTCTGCTGTCGCCGCTTCGAAGAGAAAGAAGAAGAAGGAGATTTGGGGGGATTTGGCTGATTTTGCTCGAACCGGCATAACCGGTTCAGCGGCGCCCCTGTTTGCAGTATTGCCTTGGCGCCTTTGTCATCGTCACTCTTCATGCAAGCTTGAATGAATCCTGACCTGACTTCCTGACCCGACATTTACATGCGGATCAGGTGTGCTCATGAAATTTCCAAAACCCACAGTGGTTTTCGGTCTGGCATGGGCAAATAATTTTGTTTTCTTCTTGATGTGGTTAGGGATAAATACCATAAACTTGGTCTGGCCTGTCCCAGTTGCATCCACAGTTGGGTGTATATATTCAGATGTTCTGATAGTTTCCTAAAACCTGAATTCGGTGCAAGTGGTTGATGTTTGAACACAATTTGTATTTATATTTGAAATGCAATAACGTATGATATCCTAGGATCAACACACTGATGCATCTTGATTTTATCTGTTTGCATTCCTTCTGTCAATGGTGCTTTAAGAGGCAAAGAATTTTGTTCTCGTTTGATACCTGTTCAGACATTATCTGTTTGTTTGTTTGTTTGTTTTTTATTTAACTTTTTAAGCTCACAACTAAAGTAGGTTTTGATTTCTATTTTTTTTAAATAAAAAAGCTATTTGCTTGTGTCTACCACCCTAGAAGCTGCTTGAGGACAGCCGCTGCTGTTGACTTATTGCTTTATTGTTTAACTCTTAGGAGGCTGACGGAGAAGCATTTCAATATTCCAGAATTATTTGGAAATTTATCTGAGGTAGGGTCTTGCCAGCTGATTCTCTTGTTGGTATACATTTTTACTGGTGCTTTGTTACCCTTTTTCTCTATCATTAATGAGGTTCATTTTCAGATTGAAATGACTCAACATTGGGATGTTGATGCAAAGTTTACAGATGAGTCTACTTCCTCTGCTAGCTCCGATCCTCAACCTTCATTTCATCCTAACTTGAGACCAAGGTGAAATGAGTTTTCTGTACTTTCTTAAGTATTTCTTTCTGTAGATTTGTTGTTAACTACTGTAAGGTGCATCAAATTTGTATGACACATGCCCAATCCTCAACCTTCATTTCATCCGAACTTGAGACCAAGGTGAAATGAGTTTTCTGTACTTTTTTAAGTATTTATTTCTGTAGATTTGGTGTTAACTACTGTAAGGTGCATCAAATTTGTATGACACATGACTTCGATACCAGACAAGTGTCTAAATCTATATAATTCTATAATTCTAGAACTCGAGGTTTAGGATGCCTCAGGCCATGGGTTGGGCATGTTTCGGCTCTTGTTTGATATGAGTGAAAGCAGTTTTGTATTTCATGTGGGACGTTGGTATTTGTAGGATGTTGATTTGATTAATTGCTTATGTATTGCTCTTCTTGGCTATTTGTTTACTTTTAACATTTGCCCAAGTGAATAGATTTTGTTAGTCTATGATCATATTGTATATAGGACATTGGGTGTTTGTTTTTATATACAATGTTTAATGAGTTTTGTCTTTAACTTAAATCCGAATATAATTTTGTTATTAACCAAACACACGATAAAGTTTTGTATCCATATTGTGCGATATCTATAAAGGATATTTTTGACTCATATATTGTGTACGATATCTAAAGCTATGGTAAATATGTTTGCCGAAAGGATACAACCGACTTATTTTGCCTTATCCTTATGGCAATCCCTCCAATATGATACATCGATTGACATATTTGTACCAACCAGTATTTAGAACCCAAGTGATATATCAGCTGGAACTTGGAAGTAGAGAAACCTAGATGGCTTGCCATATACTAATATGGGGGGTGGGGTGGGGGTGGGGAGGGGATAACTTAAACAGGAATATGTATTCCGAAGTGTAAATAAGCTGACATTGGAAAAAACACAAACAAACTACTATTTCTTCATGAACTCAAGAACTAAATGTAGTGTAGAGAGGAACCTATCAAGACTTCATAGTTAAATTTACTTGGTAAGGGAGCTAGTTGAGGATTGGTGATGTGGATGTTCTCTGTCAAAGGGCGTTCTAGGACCTCCTTGTAGATCACATTTACCCTTTCAATTTATAGTGAGAGCGACAAAGGTAGGGACACAATACTTTCGGATCTTTGGCAGATTTGAAGGGTCAAAGATCATGTACCTCTATGCAAATAATCTTCTCTTAGGGCTCCAGAATGCTGCCTTGGTCTTCTACTTAGTGATGACTTGCGACCAAATGCATTCCCTTTATTTGATTGCTCTCACATTCTTCTCATCTGTAGATTAAGTTACTTATCCTGATCCTTGGTCTTAGCCCTTCATCAAAAGTTTGTTAACAGTCTTCTTTTTCTAAACTTCCTCCATTGAACCCTAAGATTTCCTGCCAGTGACGCTTGTCCCTTCTCTTTGCCCAACACATTTTCCTCCTTTGTTTTAGGTCCTAGAAAATATTGTCGAGCCAAATCTTCCGCTTCAATTATCTTGAAGTTGGTCTCCTCAAGGTCGTCTTTCCTCAACCTTCCTATCGAATCTCCAACATCGATCTTCTTCCTGTCCATATCTTTAATACTTTATCCGTCATCGTTATCTGTGGTCTCCCTCTTCCACTTCTTGCCATTACACAGAGGATATACGTGAAATCAAAGATGTCAGCTCTGGCCCAGATTTGCCGCTTGGAACATGGTAAATCTTCAAAACATGATCCGGTTCTTCTAGGAGCTCGATGTTCCTGAATTTCCTGGCTGTCACACATTTACTCTACTGCCATTGTCTACTTAAGAGAGTTTAAAGCATTCTGATTGATATTATAACATTGATGATGTTCATTGATGTATCTACATTTTTTTGCTTGCAGAAATGTTTTTCGGTTGTTAGCCTTGAGGGAGATATCTCCTCGCAGCAAAAACTCTTCGAAAAGGTTTTGGAATCAGACTTCAAAAGTGAGAATTGATGAGTACAGGCCTATATATGAAATAATAGATGCAAGACATGCTCTTCTTTCCTGGTAAAACATTCTATTGAACTGTATCTTCTGCTAATATCCAAACTTTATTTTATTACAAAGGGATGCTTTGTCCTTCTCTTCAGAGCTATGTGTTATGGATAAAGTGTTATCTATATTACTTATTGGCCATATGTAGCAAAAATTTGATGGATTCTACAGAGGATTCGGCTTGAGTATTGCTTTTATTGAACACCGATTTTCAGGGTGGAAGCAGATTCTTTGGGGAATTTGACAGCGAAGTATTGCTCTCTTTTGCCTCCTCCAAGATCAACAATTGCTGCAGCATTTAGCACTGATGGGAAAAGGCTTGCGTCTACTCAGTGAGTGCCTCAATCTCACTCTACAAGACAGTCAGGTGCTATGCACCGTTTATTTATTGTAAACCTCATCTCCTTTCTCTGTTTCAGTGGTGATCATACTGTTAAAATCATGGATTGCCAAACTGGAAGTTGTTTAAAGGTTTTGAGCGGTCATAGGCGAACACCTTGGGTGGTATGTATTCATCACATTTACTGATTTCTTTTACAAATTAAAATATTCACCAAGCCAGTGGTTACAAAAATGTAGATATTTTTTATTGCTGAAAATGGGGCGTTATGGTAATTTATGTGGAGTACTGCTTCAGTTGATCTGCGGATATTGAGGACAGTTTCAGTTTAAAATGAACTAATGTTGTGTTTAAAGATTTCAAAGCTGTGTTTTTTAAAAGGCAAAGTGGTTGTGATTAGTGAAGAATGTTGGCTTAGACACTCCTGAATAACGAGTAGCTGATTTACTGGATGGAAATAAATAATGGAAGTTTTACTGGAAACAAAGAATGCTGGCTGTCTTTTTTTCTTTTCCCTTCCTTGAGATAATGGCAATAATTTTCCTATTTTCTAGCACAGAAAAAGTAGTTCCTAGTTTTAGTCAAATGCCTGAAAGGTTCATCCTTCCCCTAAGAGATTATTTGTGGCTAAACTCATGAAAACAAGATATCTTGTTGGTTTAAGGTAAATGCTACCATTGTACCTCTTTTAATTGAAAGAATAATTATGAGCCTACTAGAATTACAAAATGAAAGGAATAACAGAATGACCATGGCGCACTTAAGAAAGTAATGTCTACTAAAAGTTTGACAAATGCAAATGCACGCGATATGAAAATATGTTACTTTTGCATAGTTGTATTTTCAAAAAATTTAAACAGTAATTACATATTATTTAGTGAGAATGTGCATTTTAATAGATAGGGAGAGAGTGAATATCAAGTTATTTTTTTAAGAGAAAAGTATCTTTTATCTTCATTATTTGAACTTGAAATCCTCCACTAATTTTTTATCATCACTCTTTTCTTTATATAGTATAAATTTTGCTATAGATATACACATATAATCTTGACTGTTTTATTTACATATATTTTGTTCTTTTCTTGAAATCTATATCTTTAGCTTTGTATCTTTTGTAACCTAACATATAAAGAATATTCAATCGTGCAGGCTCATTTTATTCTCTTAATATTAAGTGAAGAATGTTCTAGAAGGAAGAAATAGAATATGTAATAATCTATACTGTATATTGAAAACCTAGTGACCGTAGGAGAATATACGAATCCTATTTTTCTTTTATTTTCTTTTTTTTCGAGAACTTTTTAAAGCATATCGTAGAGCTTACTAATTAAATGTTTATTATATTGTGTATTATAAGAAGATATGAATACAAAAACATAAAGTTCTTCTTTATGTAAATAAATACATTAAAAATTTAGAATTTCAATATAAATATTATGGAATATGTATATATAAATAGTTTGAAAATAATTTCAAGATGAAATATAAAAAAAGACTTTTCTCAATGACATAAGAATATGACGTCATTACTCAAATCGAAATACATGTCATAACCAATTTCGAATAAGGTAACATAAAGTGTTGCATATCAAATAAACAAATATCATAAAAAGTTATTAGAAATATCTCTATGATACTTTAGGGTATTAAATGACCATTTAAAAAAATTTAGAACAATTAAGTTTTACTGTCGGTTGCACGTGGATTTGTGTGTATAATAGTGCTAGTATGTAATGAACATAGTGAAGGTGGTGAAAGTTGGAGGAATGGAGGACATTTCTTCTTCCTATTGTAATTATGAGGGTAAAATGGTAATTTTCTGAGAAAGATTTTCCCCTCCTTTTCTTTCTTTTCATTTCTTATTTATAGGACATTCTAAATCATAACATGAGAATAGAATTTGTGAGAAAGATTTTTCCCTCCTTTCCTCTCCCAAAATGGTAATTTTACGAGAGGAATTTTATGTCTTTTCTTTTGCTTTTTTCTTCATATTTCTAAAACATTGTAAAGCAAGAAATGAGAATAGTTACATAATTAAATGGTAATATTCACTGTTTTTCTATTTTTATTTTAATCACTTACTCCAATTATGCTATCATCAATAAGAAAATTACTCAATAAAACTTGTGTTAAGAATAGATTTAATTAGTAACTTACAATTTAGGACACATCTTCCACGTCAGGCTCTATAATAAAATTACATAAATTAAATCATCATCAAACTATTAATACGTATAATATAAGCTTAATTGTAACAATCTAATATTTTGCACGTGCATTGGACATGCTAATGTGCATTAGAAAAAGAAACAAGAAAAGAAAGCATTCCTTGTGAAATAACAATTTTACCTTTTCAATTATAATTGGAGGAGAGGATGTCCACCATTCATACAAATTGTACTGCCCCTTGTTGGTGTTTTATATAATAGTATAGATACTACTATATAATGATCCAAGTGAGGGCAATTTAAAAAATGGATGAGTGGTGGACATATGCCTTCTTTCCTATATGGATGAAAAGGTGAAACTGTATTTGACAGGAGAACTTTTTTATCTTGTTTTTTTCCCAGAACATTCTAATCAATATTTTGCCATAATTATAGATATAGTCTATATCATAATATGAATAGCATGCCTACATAGTATTCGATCTGTCTCAAATGGCACATGCATTATCCTCTGTTCATTTTAATTATAAACTACTTGCTCCCATACACCTCTCATTAGATAGAGATCCAACTATATATTTAGTAATTGATTCTTCCATTCCCATCTCATCATGAAACAAAATACAGAACCTTTAAGCTCATCTTGAAACTTCTCAGAAATAGTTCTTGTATATAATTCTCTAGTTTGAATCTCGATCGGGTGGTTTAAATTGCATCATATGGTTTGTGTTTAAAGTAGCAAAACCCTCACTTAGTTCTTGAGAATGACGAGACAATATTTCTTTATTATATTCCTGAACAAAATCGGACAACGTCTGTGGGTTGACGTATGTGTTAAAGAAGGCATTCATGCTCTAGCCACGTTCGCTTGATGTCGTTTCTGTGGTTTCGTTGTCTGTACATGGTCTGTAACCAACCTTCCTCAATTTTCCTCTATATTGAACTTTTCTTTTAACTCATCTTATTGTTAAATACACATTTCTATTATCTTGCTATGACGCCACCTACTAAAGTAGTTTACGGGCTCTTCTCCATGCAACTTTTATAGAGATAATGTGTCGGCCAAGATGCCATTTGCAATATGGATGTCAAGTATTAGGAAATGCCCTTTGAATGACATTGCATATAGCTTTATCTTGATGTATAATAATAGCAGGCGGTGCCACTCCATTCATACACTTCAACCATTCAGTAAACAACCAAAAAAATATCTTCTTCCTTATCTGTAAGTAGTGCATAACCAAACAACATTGATTGTTTGCAATGGTTAACACCATAATTGGAGCAAAAGGTAGAGCTAACTTGTTAGTTATATACGTAACATAAAAAATAACGAAGTCATGAAACTTTAAAAATGATGCTCTTGCTCATCTATTTGCCCAAAATATGCTCCGTACAGTTCCTGTATTCTCTAATTCAATAGCAAAATAACAGTGAGGATCAAATGCCCTTTTATCTAAGAGTTGACAAATAAATGTTATACGTTCATTACTCATATTATTCTTTCTCTGTTTCCTTATGTGGTTACTACATTATTGCGATGTCACAATTTCCACTGACTTCCAGCAACAACATTTATGACTCGTGACATGATCATTGGTGGATTTCTTTCATGCAAAATATCAATTAGACTCTTACAATTGTTTGTTCGATGCAACTTTCAATGTGAATAATGATTCTTTACTTTATCAAGACTGGTCAACTCATGATTTATGTGCTCAGTGCTCACTAATAAATTTGCTAATCACCCATGTTTTTTTATTAGTTCGATTGACCTGCAATCTTGCTTTGAAACCTACCATTGTACCTTTTCGACGATTAACTTCTCTTCCGTGCTCTTTCTTGTCACTTGTAGATTTCCAGCCTTCCTTGTTACAGATGAATGTCCTGGATATGAGTTATCTCGTCTCTTTTCGAAATCGATTGCTTGAACTTATGTGAAAATTGAATCATTTTACTCTTGCATATGCATTGTAGTAATTATATATTTTGAGCTATGTTGAAAATTCCATTCCAACCCGTGGTTCATAGCATTTTGGCTGTCATTAACATTAGCATCATTAATATTTTTTAGACTCTAAACCTGTATTAGAAGAATCAATAAATCTACTTTCATTCGAACAATCCGGCATTAAACTATCCATATAAATGTCAACCATATAGGGAATAACTTGAAAAATATTATTTAAGAGCCACTGTTAGAATTTTTTTGAAGATATGTATCATACTCCCTTTAAAAGCACGAGTTTGAAAAAATCTTTTGATAGACAAAAATACCATTGAAATTCAAATACTAATCCATTAAGTAAGAGTGAGTTGATAAATTAATGAATTTTTATTGGATATACATAGTATGAAGATAAAGATATAGTTTAAATTGAAATGTAAACCTGAATAAAATTATTAAATGCCAAATTTACAAATGTATATAAGATGAAGGGCGTATATGTAAAAATCAAACAAACTAGTGAGACAAATAATGTCCGCTTCAGAGGTCGAACCCAGAAACAACACAGACCTACAAATGTACATAATGTGGATGTGGTATTTGCAAAATCCACCAAACAAATTAAAAAGACAAAATCATTCTCAAAATTATAAAAAAAAAAATTAAAACAAACGACTGTGATATGAGGACACAACGCGACGATCTCTCACAAACTAAAATTTAAGTAGTTCACGGTATTGCATAATTAGTTTTAAAGTTTAATTATACTCTTATTATTTAAATAGAACTCTATTTACAATTATTATCCTCTCATATGCAACATCACATACCAATGTATATAAGTCAAGAAATTATAACAATTTCCATAACATTTTTATCTCCTTCTACAAATATGTCTTTGTTATTTTCTTCTTATTAGATTAGATTAGATTATTTTAAAGTAATTAATTATATTGTATATTTGTTCTTTTTTTCATATGAAGAAATATCAATAATTTTCATAGCACTTTCATCTATTTTCTTCTTATTAGATTAGATTAGATTATTTTAAAGCAATTACTTATATTGTATGTTTGATCTTTTTTTTCTAGATCACAAAGTTTAATTATACTATTATTATTTAAATAAATACTGTTTGTATAAAAATCAAAGAGAATCTCACACATATTTTAAATCTCAATGCCAATTATAATATTTACATATGATAGTGTTGGCTAAAATAAATTTCATGTATGAGCTTAACTTATATGATCCTACTTTAACCGGATTAGATAATTTAATTTTTTAGCACCCAAACTCTTCCATAAAATCAAAAGAGAATAGCAATGCTATAACTATATATATCCACAGGACCACAGATATTTTAAAAATGAATGAAGAAAACCACACAAATAAAAATCATATTAATTACCCACACGCATCCACTATTTTTAAAACCACCCTTCTTCATCTCCATCTATAATATATCCACATACCAAATTAAGCTGCTGGAGTTTTCCCTCACCAACTACACCATTGATCAACTCGTCTTTTTTCTTTGTACTTAAATTGTATAACATTCATTGCAATGAGGACTCACATGAACCTAACAAAAAAAAAAATAGTAGGCCTTGTAGTTAGTTAATAATGAGATCATATCATTATAAACAAACTAAGTAAAGATTAATAATTCTTAAGAATGTACTACGTTCCCCTAGTTTCCACTGCAAACTTGTTAGTTGTTTATTCCTGACCTTAAGAAATTTTCAAAATTAATCACATCTATTTCATAATTTTTTTTAAAAATGTTTAAATAAATTTTATGGCAAATATAATAATCCATGATTATAGATTTTAACTCAAAATGAATCTGACTTATTTTGTAGTAAGAAAATAAAAAATTATTGTGATATTTAACCACGTGCATTGCATGTGCACAAGAACTAGTTAGCAGAATAAAGACAACTCTAAAATCATAAACAAGAAAAGTGAATATGGTAATTAGAACATCTATAACAATCATCTAAGAAAACTCTAAGAAGATTAAACTAAATAAAAGTCATATGAATATTAATAACCGGTTAATCTTTATTGGAAAAAAAAATCAAGCCATACAGATTGCAGCAACCAAAAAAAAAAGGAAAGCGAACTCAATAAAACAATTGATAAAAAAGTCTCAATAGAGAAAAAATAAAATAAATTTTTTAAAATAAAATTACCACAAATATAAGAATCCATCAAGGAAATTATTCTTCCCTGTTGAGTTCCAAAGCGCAAGAAGAAGCGTTGAGAATTCTTCTTTTTTTCAACAATCGTTTGAGTTGAATCCAATAGTTTTTGAATCTAAAGGAGGAGAAGACAAAACAACAGAGAAGGAATATTTCTAGCGTTTTTGGGAAGGCAAAACAAGATTGAGATTTGTAAATTTTCATAAAGCTCTTTTTCTTTTGACTTTTACAAAATAATTTTCCATTATACCATGTTACTATATTTAAAACCTGTTAAATCATAATAACATGCTACCAACAAGGGGACGACACGTGGCAGCTGCGGAGGAATTCCCTGAGCT